TACAAAGGATGTTTGGGTACCTAGAGACAGGATGGGATCCTGTGTCTGCTCTCTGTTTCCTTCTCTTGTGTAAATTTTCTGTAACCATGTCATATTACAGTCACCTACATGTTAGATCACTGCCTGGTTGCATTTGTGAACGTTCAGAGCAGCTTCACATCTGTGTGTGCTGCTGCAGTTTGTGTCTCCTGCAGGACAGCTGTTGCTCTGAGTGGTTTCACACGCTGTTGGCATCTGCTTGCTGTCACCTGTGTGCCATGGCCAGGCAGGGAGGGTGCTTGGGGGGGTGACATGGCCAAGAGCAGCCTTGGAAGGAGGCTCTAACCCCTAGGGATATCAGGCTCTGCATGTCTGTTTGCTATGCGTGTTTTCACCATTACTGCATCAATTCCAGCGAAGAGTGTTCTGCCACTTTTTGTTTGTTTTTAAATCACAATGATATCTAGATAACATTAAAAGAAGGTGTTCTCTGGTTCGTAAAAAAACCCCTAATATTAAGTACTTTTTTTTTTTTCCCAAAATGAAAATAACTCCCGGGACTCACTGGTGCTTTGATGAGGTGTGACCTCCAAGCACACCAAAGGTGTGACATGCCTTTGTCACCTGCATTCACAGCTTCCCAGGCAAGGAAACAAAACCCATCCTTTGTGGATGATCGCTGGTGGCCGTGGCTCAAACCCCCTCACTGCAGCTGCAGGAGCCTTTCACACCTTCCATCAAAGGCAAGGCAGTGCAACCTCCTGTGGCATCTCAGAGAAGTCAGAGGTGCAGTGCAGGCTGTCCTTGCTGTCCCAGGTGAGTGCAGGCACCACTGGGGCCTCATCAGCACTGCCACCGTGCTCATCCCTCCTCCCAGCCTAAAGAAGCACCCACACTCAGCCCTCCCTGGGCTGAGACCCGCTTAAACAGTGACTTTATTTCCTGGGCAGACCCATCAAGAAAGGAAATATCAAAGCCACAGTTAGTATTTTAATTTTAATTTTTTTTTTGTGATTTGTCTGATGGTGTGAGACTTGCTGAAATGGCATTTTATTTCCTGGATGTAGCAGTCCCGTGTTGTGTCTGGATGCAGATCCACACAGGAGGCAAGCAGCCCAGGATGGCAGCAGGGACGTGAATCCTCAATTTGGGGCTAAGCCTTGTGCTGTGTCATTTTTCAGCTGGTTGTTTTATCTCTCTGTGCTCTGGGAAGGGTATCTTGACACAGACAGTTTGCAGAGCCATTTCAGCTGTTCAGACAGCTCAGCCACAATATGTTGCCTCAAATTGTTCTGTCAAGCACATGCATCAGCTGTATTTGCTTGCTTTAAAGCTGTGAAAACCAGAGACCATCCTGAGAAAATTTAGCTTCTACATAGAAATAAAGAGGGTGACAATGCTCTCAAATGTACAAATGCCACACGAGGCAGTGAGCTGCAAACCTGCCATGGCCTGTGAAGCTCTTTAGATTTCAGATGAAATCATTAGCTGCTGCAGTCCCAAAGCCTTGGCAAGGAGAAGCTGCAGCCAGAAGGGCTGTGCTGTCCTTGCAAGGCATCTGCAGTGGCTCAGGGGTGGCTGCTGAGATCCATGGGGGCTCAGGGGTGCAGGAGCTGCTGCCAGCGAGGCAGGGACACACAGCAGGGCACAGTCAGAGCAGTTTGGGCTGGTGGGACCTTTCTGTGGGTGCTCAGTGGCATGAGCATGGGGGAGGGCAGTGGCAGGGGCTGGTTTTGGCTGGCACATGCCCTGGGGGACCCAGATCTGGTCAGAGGAGCAGCACTGGGCCATGGGCACGAGGCACAAGGTGATGTTACCCCTCAGTCACACTAGAGCTGAAGGATGGAGCAAAGCTGTGACACTTCTGTGCTTCTCAGGACAGAAAGAACAAGACTCCCCTTCCTTATGGTGACAGAGACATTATCCCTTCTGGTTCATTTTCATGCACTAAATACCAAATTCTGGCGGCATGATGCTGCACCTGCTTTCCATGTCCTCTGCATCCAAGCACAGAGGCTGACACCCAGTGGCCATGGGATTTCTAGCACCTGTACAAGATGGAAAATTTCAGCAGAGATGCCTCAGCCGGTGAGATCCAGCATCCACCTTTTCATTCCTCGAGTGCAGGAGGAGTAAAGAGTTCCTGAGAGATCACAGAATGGGCCAGTCTGGGAGGAAACACTGGAGCTCACCTTGTTCAAACCCCTCTCATGCAGGGTCCCCAAGTGCTCTTTAGTCAGGATTGTGTCCAGACAGCTGTTGAATATCTCCAGAGGGGGCTCCACAACCTCTCTGGGCAGCCTGTTCCAGTGCTCTGTCTCCTTCACAGTAAAGTTCCTCATGTTCAGGTGTCAATTCCTATGTTCCTATGTAAGCCTTGCTTTGTGTCAAGTTAGAGTGGTTGAAACACTTGTACTGAGAGGCCACTCAGAAAAATTAAAAAATATGAGGATGGATATGAGGATACAGAATGTAAGCTGATTTTCAAATTATACTCTTGCTGGCAGCTTGAAAATATACCTCAGTGAGAGAAGGGTGAGTTTTGAGTTCAAAGACCTTGGTGTTCCTCTTCCCTGTTTTCCTACTTCCCAAAAGCAGCTAGAATATGACAGACTAAAAGGATTTTGCATTTCCCTGCAGCATGCACAGGATCGTGCTTTTGTATGTGTGACAAGTATTGACATTCTCTAGGGAGAAAAAAGCTGGGTAGGAAAAGTTGGGTTTATTCTTCAACAAATGGCTCTAAGACTTTATCAGTCAAAGACAGAAAGACTCTAAACTCATGGGTATGCAAAGACAAAGACATGTCTCACCAAACATGTGGAGCTTAGTTGGTAAAAATATGTGGAACCCAGATGAGCTGGGAACAATAAGAGCAGAGCATGCCAAAGGAGGGATTTTAAAAGTGCTTTACTAAAAATATTAATTATGAACTACAGCAAATGAATTAAAACACTCTCATGAGACAACTGTGTGAAAGAAATACTTTGGTGTAATTCTATAAACACAGGATAAAAAACCACTGCTGAAATTCTAGCGAGGTTCAGGATGTTAGGAAGGCGAGTGCCATCTATTAGAGCTGGATTTTGCAAATGCTGCAGATGTGACTCTGTGAGAAAGCAGGAGGGAGGTGTTTGCTGCTGCTGCTGCAGTGAGGACCCTCTGCAGGGATGAGTCTGGGGAGCAGGGAGCCCTGCACTGGGGCCAAGCCCAGCTTTCCTCACCTAAATGCTCCTGTGAAGCTGCAGCATACAGATACCATAAGTAGATGTACTTAATTTATCACTCTGTTACTAGGCAGGTTTCTAGGCAGGCTTCAGCCTAACTTTTATATTCTGTGGTTACTGAAATAGCTCTGATCTTTTTTGGGGTGAGTTCTAGCTGTGGAGGTACAACAGCCTTTCCTTTGCTCTCTCCTACTTGCACCCATGCACTTTAATTCTTCTTCCCTTCTTACTTTGTTTTGGGTAAAACTGGACTAGAGGCTTTAGCCCAGTTTAAACCCATCCAGCAGGTTGGGGCTGCTGCAGTGTTTGCCCCAGTGCAAATGCCTTGCCCAGCATGGTGAAGTAGGTGAGATTGCACCAGATGTACCCAGGACAGCAGGCTGGGCTTGGCTGCCTGCCCTACTTCATCCCTTGGGGACATTCACAACACACTCACATGTTTTTAGTAGATATTTTAACAGTTTAAGAGTCTGGCAGGACATCAGAGGCCCGATGGCAGTTCTGAAAATCCACACCCAGTGCATGCTCACAGGTGTTTTTCAAAGTAAATGCATCCTGTGGTGGCTGTCCAGGAGACAGTAGAGACAGGTTGTGTCTCAGCAGAATTACAACAGCCATGAAACTTCATTTCTGCTTCAGTCCCTGCATTGACCTTTTTTTTTCCTGGTTCTTTCCTCCTTAGGTTGCTCCCCAAATTACAGTGGGCTGTTTCCCATTTAGCAGTGGAAGCAGCTGATAGTGATTGAATAATTTTGCTGTTGGATGTGTAAGACATCCAACTGCTTGCATCCAACAACACTTGCTGTGTTGTTTTGTTTCTGATTGGGTTGATATGGGTCTTTACATAACTCATTGACACAAACTTGATTTTCTCTCTGGGCTTCCACTGTTCATTAGAAATTCCCAGTTTGAATAAATGCTCCTTCAAGAAAATACATTTTCAGGGTTGTTCTGATGAAATGAAACCACAGTAAACCCCTGTGTTTGCCTTGGTTATTTCTTCAAGAAAAAAAACCCAGAATGGGCTTGGAAAAAGGTATCTCATCCAGTGATGCTTTTTAAATATTTTTTTTTCTATCATCATCATCATAGAGAATGATTCCTAAAAAATCAGTCAGCAATTTCATCACCTGACTACATGAGAAACATTGGGTGTGCTTCATTGAATTCTGGTGCCAATGCCCAGTTCCTAGAGAAATGCCCATGCCACATTTGCTGGAGTGACCCTCAATTCTCCTCTGAATCATCTGTCCTTTGCAGTAGCTGTGGTCATTCCTCTCTAGAGGAAAAGTTTCTCTCAAGGCCTCTGCACCTGAGCTTTTCAGCAGATGAGGTGTATCAGCTGATGGAATGGATATCTCAGGTAGCTCCTGTTCAGCATTTAGGTGCTCTCAGCAGGCTGAGTGGGGAAAGGGAAGATCAGGTGAGAGCAAGGTGGGCACAGGGGCTGGATGCAGGTGTAGCATTGTGTGTGAGGAGCTGCCCTGCAGTGTGTGTGTCCTGCTGACAGATTGCTGGAGTCCTCACAAAAGAAAAAACCCAAACAAGCCCACAGAAGAACATGTTATCTTTATTCATGGCAGTTTCCACTGCCTCTTTTTCTCCCTTGTCCTGTTATCAGAAACACCTTGCTTCAGAGGCAGGTTAGGTCTCTTCCAGTTTTCCTGCAGTCAGTTCAAGCCCCTCCAGTTTTCCTGGGTCTGTTAAGGACTGGGATTGCAACAGCTGCCTCCACAAGTGGCAGCAGGCAGGGAAGACCCACGTGGGCTGCAGAAAGCTCAGGGCTCCTGGGCTGTCTTTAGGATGGTTCCATGAGCAGCCCACCAAACACGAGCAGTGCAGCAGGCACAGGCAGTTAGAATCCCAGAGATGTGTGCAATGGCTTTCCTGCTGGGGATCTGAAAGGGACACAGGCTGTTATTCCCAACACTGAGAGAGCTGAGGACATGCTCTAGCATCCCTGTCAGGCATTGCCACATCCCAGTGGCAATGCAGGAAGCATTTGCTTTCCACAGATTTCTCACTAGCATCTACAGCTTGTTCAAATTTCACAAACCAAAACCTTTGGAAGGCAGATGCACAGCAAAGATGAAGGGGGGTGAATTTGGGACTGTAAACAGTTCATCTCTGGGGACCACAGAAGGGTCTTTCTAGAGCCAGTTCTCCCTCATGAGTAATGCCTTAAAAGGCTTATTAGAAAAGCTTCCTGCTTGCTTATGCTACATAGCCATCAGAAAAAGAAAACAGTTATCAGTACTGGGGCATTAGTTCTCTCAGACCTGAAGAAATTATCATGAGTAAAACCAGACAAATTCATCCACTCATCTGCTTTCCCCTCATGCCATCACTGACATGAATGTAAATGGCTGGGATGAGAGTGCCAAAAGAACGAGGATTTAGCCCATTAAAATGGCACTGCTATAACACAGCTAGGACAAATCTCTGCTCTTGAGTGGTTTGGGGCATGATAATAGCTTTATTTATGCTGCTGTGCATGCAAGCAACTGCTGCATTTAACAGAAGCAGTCTGAGCTCTTATGAGCAGTATTTGAGTCTCTGCAGTGAGTTTATGGGTTGCTGTAGGGGCATTTCATATCAGAAACAGACATACTCAGGAGGGTTGTTTACTGAAAATGAACTCTTGTTTGCTGTCCAGTCTTAGAGCATCTATTAATGTTTGGCCCTTAGACATTTAATGTGATATTTCAGTTACAGCTGTACTGATAAATAGTTACAGACACCGACAAAAAAGCACATTGCTTGGACAGGCATCCTTGGTGCTTACCTTTTCTTGCACTGGCCAATCAACATAAATATTATAAGGCTAATTGACAAACTCAGGATTACTGGAATGAGAATAAATAGCTGCTTGTCCTCTTTTCTGGGCACTGCAAAGATAAATGGCAGGAAATAAGAAGATGTTAGAATGGATTACATTACCTCCTCAAAGCTTGGGCTTGTCCATGTTACCCTACATGTTTTTATTTATTTATTTGTTTGTTTGTTACAGGTGTGTTACTGGCTGGGCTCACATCCTCCTTCAGGGTGTTGTATCTCTGGCACATTGATGCAGTCACTGCTAAGTGCCTCTCCCCTGCCTTCTGCAGCTTGCAGCAGAGCCAGTGCACACCAGGACAGCCCAAGAGAGCCTGCAGGGTTTACAGGAGCTGATTTGTGGTGCAGGATGGCCAGGAGGATGCCCTGTGCAGGGACTGCAAGTACCCTGTGCCCTCTCTCGCTCAGCAGCCACTCCTCCATGCCAGTTGTCCCCATGCAGCAGGGAAAGGTGCTGCTGCAGAAGCATTGATATTTATTTAATATTGGGCTCCCCTGCTAAGTGCACTGGAGAGGCAAAGCTGCAGGAGTGGCTGTGCTGGAGCAGGCTGAAGGTGGAACTAAGCCAGCAGCCCACCTGCAGGGCTGGACACCAGCACATCCCCAGGGCAGCACCTGCACCCAAGCAGGTTTTATAAACCATGTAAAAGAAACACAATTTATTTGGAGTTCCATACCAGAGAAACAATCCTGTGTCCATTCACTCCAGAAGCCTTGGTCTGCACAGAAAATGTTTGTTCTCCCCCTGACACGAACACATGAAACGTGGCTTTGGTTTGCTCTGGAAATTGTTACAGCAGTTTCCATTTGGGTTGAAACAAACTGAGAAACAAAACAGAAAAAAAAAAAATCAAGGAATTACGTGCCACCAGCAGGATCTGTCTGGTGTGTGGCCTGATGTTCCTGCACATTGTCCAGGCTCTGTAAAACCTTTGGATTATCTTTTGGCAGTTTTAAATGATTTCACAATAGTTTTGTACAAGCTAATGCAAATAACATGATTATGAAGACAAATCCACTGAAAATACTTTCTGGAGGTGTCATCATGTATGTTGTCATTTATGCCTGTGAATTTATGGAATCTTTCTTTTGGAAATTTGGAATCTTTCTTTCTTACCCAAGTAGACTCATGAGTGGAATACAGCAATTAAAAAAGAGATGTTCCCTATGATTAATTAGCCCTTTTTGGTTTTGCCTCCAAACTGAACCTAGATAACATACAAGGAAAAAGCACCATGCATAAAATATATATTCTGTCCTAGGCCACTCCTTTTGAGAGATTAGAATTATAGTTTCACAGGTCCAGGTTATGTCACCCTATTTGGGGAAACAAACCACAGCGACCTCTAAATTTCCTCGATGGCAGATTTCTGAGATAGCAGGCGGGAGGAAACGCTCTCTTGGAGCCTCCTGCTGGGCTCCGTTCCTGCTCCAGCAGAGCTGCAGCTGCAGGTCAGGGGGTTAAGGAGGAGCGTGTGCGGTGCAGCGGCGATCCCCGCCGGGGGAACCCACACCCTGCCGCAGCCTGTGCCCCCACTGCCGGCTCGGCCGGGCTCCCCGACCCCCTCCCGTCCCTGCGACACCCCGCTGCTGTCCCTACCGCCCAGGCTGCCGCATCTTCGGCCACCTGCACCTCGTACTCCAGGCAGTGCGGCGGCACCCGCCCTCCCGGCGGGCTCCAGGCGGCCCTCAGCTCCTGGGCTGCGGACACCGACAGCTGCAGCTGCTCCGGGGCCGAGGGCTGTGCTGGGGGGAGAGAGACGGAGAGAGGGTCAGGGCTGCTGGGACAGCTCCAGCTGCTCCGGGGAAGAGAGAGACAGAGAGAGGGTCAGGGCTGCTGGGACAGCTCCAGCTGCTCCGGGCTGTGCTGAGGGGAGAGAGACAGAGAGAGGGTCAGGGCTGCTGGGACAGCTCCTGGCTGCGGACACCGACAGCTCCAGCTGCTCCGAGGCCGAGGGCTGTGCTGAGGGGAGAGAGAGAGGGCCAGAGGTGCTGGGACAGCTCCTGGCCGAAAGGCTGCAGTTGATCCCCGCCTGCCTCTGTCCCTGTCCCCGCTGATGGATTTCTGGGCGCTCCTGGCTCTCAGCCACCACGCTGGAGGAGCAGGGTGTCACCGAGTCTGAGGGTGTGTTGATTATTTTAACTTGCCACACAGCCTGGCCGGGGTCCCTGCTCTGGGCTGCGGGGCAAGGGTTTGGAAGCGCGGGGTGTGAGCGCCGTGCCCTGCACATTCCCTGCCCGGCACATTCCCTGCCCGGCACATTCCCTGCCCGGCACATTCCCTGCCCGCTCTGCATCCCAGAAAAGGCTCTGATTCCTGTGCCATACCCAGAGCCACACGCGAAGCACATGGCAGCACTAATTGAATTCAGAAATCCTGCTCCTTAGCCCAGCGGCTCAGCTGGATGATTGGCTATTTGTCCTTCTGGCATGTAGGCAAATGCACCAGCATGGTTTAATAAATATACACCGTAATAAACACGGAGTACATGTAATGTTTGTGCATCATGCTGTGCTCTGCTCCCTTTCCGTGTCTGTCACGGGTTTGAAATCCATCTCTGACAGACCCCATCACATCTGGCACTCAGCTCACGCCAGACCTTAGCTTGGTTTGAACAGCAGAGCCCAAAGAGCTCTGCTGTGCTTGCAAGGAGTGCAGCAGTGGTTTCAATCCCAGCAGGAGTAAATGAAGATGTCTCTGTGACTGTGCTGTTAGAGGCAAACACCCCATAGCTGCTCTGCCACATGCCCAGCAGGCTATTTGTGTCCTGAGCGGTCCACATGCAGCACTTGGAGGCACCCACTGTCCTCCAGGGCTGTGCTGGGGAGTGTTGCTTCCCTGCAAACACTCCTGGAAACTGAAATCCTGCTGGGCACATGCCACAGCCCCTTCCCTTGGGGAAATGCACATGTTCCAACCACGCAGCTCCAAAAGCACACCTTGAATGCAGGCAGTGGCCTGGGCTGTGTGGTGGCCAGCAGGGTCCCCTGCTGCTCCCCTGGCACCCTTACCGAGGTTGTGCAGGCGCAGGGTGCTGTACAGCGGCCGGAGCTGGGCGCCTGCTGCCGAGCCATTGACGCAGATGTGGAGATCGCGGTACTCTGCCTGGCTGAGGTTGTGCAGCACACAGCCCAGGTTCAGCCCCTGCTCCTGGATGTACTGAGCACACTGCACCGCCTGCTCCAGCCCCTCGTACCTGGCAGAGAAACAGAAAGAAGAACCAAAGCAAATTACTTCTTAGTAAAATTGTTTTTACAAGATTGGACCTAAGCCTCAAGTCCTGCCCATATCCCAGCCTTTGTCCCAAGCACAGTGCTATGGGTCAGTCACCTGCACTCCTGCTATGGCAAAAGTGTGGAGAAGAGAAAAAACCCAAATTAACATGCACAGACAGCTTCTCAGGTTGGTTTTTAGGCTGTACCAGGTTCTCCCCAAGCCCATTCCTGGAGCACAAGAGGTGCCACTGTGTGACTGGAGCTGGGGAAGGATCTGGCCTCTACTTATGGAGACAGTCCTGCTCCTCTAGGGCCCTTCCTGCACCATCAGCCACAGACCCTGGAGTTGCAGAAAGGTCTCCTCCCAAACCAAACTGAAGTGGTTTTAGGCAGGAGCTGTGTGCCATAGATGAACTGAGTGCTGCTGAGCTGCTCTGGCTGACTGCAGGTGGTCCCCATGACTCTCCATGGGCACATGGAAACTCAGGGTTTGCTGTTTGTTACTTGATGTGCAGCCACAACAGCTCCCTTCTGCCTTTGGGAGCCACTCCCCAAAGCTGAGCTGCTGTTGCATCCTGGAAATACTGACTGGTGTCTCATACTGCCTTTCAAGATTCCTGCTGCTTTGTGCCCTCACAACAGGGCTGAATTTGGCCCCTGTACTCCAGACCTAATGAAAGTCTCCTTGCACAGCACATTATCTTTGGGGGAAAAACTTCATGTTCTAGTACAATAAAAATTTGCTCACAGGGATCAAAGGATGCCGTGGTGTCCACCCAATCTTGTGATAAAATGGGACCCAGATCCAAATGCCTGGTTTTATTGAAGGCAATTGACTCAAGGTTGGGTTTTTTTAGTGTTTGTTTCCTTTAAGGCATGAATCATGCACTTCCATGGTTTCCTTCAAGCAGATCTTTGCAGTTAGCAAAATGGTTTTGAATTGGTGCTTCTCCTTTGAAGAATATTTCCAAGAACTCCATGGAACCTCTTTAAAATGCAGCTATGCTTTTGTTGACATAGCTCAGTGGCACGAAACCCAGCCTAAGTCATCCTTTCCATAATATCATAGGAGCTGAAGCACAAATACAGTATTTACTTTGTCCCAAGCCACTCATTCTAGCTATGTTTTTCCTGCAAAACAGAATTTAGGCACCAGTTTAAAAGAAACAGTTGAGAATTATGTATTATTATTGCCTTGTGGCAGCATGTTTGCTTGTATGGGATGTGCTGAGGCTATGAAAATATATTTGAACACTAAAACTCTGAGTTGCTGAGAAGCTCCACTCTGTGTCTAGGGTTCACTGAACTTGGTAGCCTTGTGCTAAATCCTGTCCAATTGAGATATATGCACTGTGATCATGGGAAATGTGCAGCCAGAACTACCCAGGTGTGTTTAGCAAAGAGAAAACACAAGTCTTTATGTGAACAACATGCAGAAAACACCTCCTGGGGATGAATAAAAGGAAAGGAGGAAGTGAGAAGGTATTTCCTGGCAAAGATCAGCATGGGCCTGATTTTAAGAAAGTAAGAAAGGATTTGGTGGTTTCTTGCCAGAAGCTGTGTGTTGCTTGGGACATTATTTTGGCTCATTCTGGGTGAACTGGGCAATAGCACTGCTAGCTATAAAAACATATTTCCTGTGGCATTTTTGTACTTTGAGTGGTTCACTTGATTGCTGCCTGGCTGTTTTCCTATTTTGCTGTTACATACCAATAATACAGCCCATAATGTACACCATGAGGTGTGAGGAGACCTGGCTGCCAGGTGCACTTCAGGTATTCCCAGTCATGATAGATGCACTTGAATTTCTGGACCTCTGATTCAAGTTTTCCTGTCAAATGAGAAGGAAATAACCACTATTTAGCAGTGTACCAGTCAGATGCAGCAAAACCACAGTTTTGTGCCTTTGAACAACTGTGTGCTGCAATTGAAAGATAAAAAATGAAAAGAAAGGAAAAAAGAAAAGCAGCCAGTCAGAATTATTAGTTTTACTGCCAAGTGCTCTGTTTCTCATAAAAGCCAGTCCACCTTAGAGCAGAAAGATGCTAAACTGACCTTTTCCCTCAGCAGTGGAGCTCTTGCAGGGCAGCTGAGCAGAGCTGGGGCATGGGCAGAGGGAAACAAGCTCCAGGAACCCAGTAACCACAAGCACAGCCTTTGGCTGCAGAGCTGCTCTCGTGCCTTGAACAGCAGGAAGCCCTGCAATAACTTATCCATCCAGGAACCCTCCAGCCAGCACTGGCTCATGCAACAGGCTCATGCAAAGCATCAAAGTGCAGCAGGTACCGCAGGCTGCTCCTGACCTTGTGGTGGGATCTGAAAGGTTGCATAAATCCAGTCACTCTGCAGCTCCACGTCACCTGTACACCTTCCTTTGAGCAGTGTCTGCAGCCTCACTTCAGCAGTCCTGCTGAGGTCAAATCCAACTCTGAGTTTTAGCTTCCTAGTAAAAATAACCTGGTTGAAAGACAGACTTTTTAAGCACCTCTTCTGTCACTAAGTGGGCTGCAGAATTAGGTACCCTTGCTCTTCCTCCTGAACATTTGTGTGCTTTATTATCTCTTTATATTTCTGTCCTGCCTCCCTTGCCCAGGGCTCCTCCAGCATTAATTCAAGGCTGTGCCCAGCCTTGCTGGCTGTGAGTCCCCTCACCCCACAGGACCCAGCCAGGACAAGGCAGAGCAGGCTGATTAATGGGACCCCAGCAGCAAGGAGCACAGCCTGAGGAGGATACCACCACAAATCCACATAAAAGGCATTTTTTTATGGTGTGAAATAATGAGAAACAGAAAGAACAATGAGTCTGGTAAGGCTGGTTCCTGTGAGAAGTGCAAGCAGCCCCTGAAAGGGTGAACCAGCAGCCAGGCAGTGCAGCCCAGCCTCACCCACCACTGTGCACCACCTGGCTTGGCCTTTGTGGGACTTTCTGAGCACCCCATTGGAAGGTTTTTCTATTATTTTTTCCCCCCTCAGACTTATTCCCCTTCACTTTATGCAAGGACAACAAAGTTGACAGGGTTTACAACAAATGATGAGATGAAGTGTTGTGTTAGCTCATGTAGGACAGAGGTAACGTGCCCAAAATGCATCTGTGCCATAAAATGCATCTGTGTGCTGCAGTGGAAACAGCAGTGGCACAGCCCACAGTGTCCTCAGCACTCCCAAGGTGTGAGAGCTCTGGTGAGCCAGGTATTTCTAAGAGAGATCAGTCCTGTTTGCTTCTGCTGATGTCCAATGGTTTCTCTTCAGCCTGACTGTTCTTTGTGACCTTATCTTTGTGACCTTATCTTTGTGACTGTTCTTTGTGACTGTTCTTTGTGACCTTATCTGAGGTCAACATTCTGGCAAGGTGTCAGAGGTGATTTTGCTCTAGTCTGTACATCTGCCTCATATAAGAAACTTTTATTACTCATGGCTTCAGGAATTCTGATTTTTATTGGTTTTTTTGAAACTGCATATGGTTTTCTTTTAAATTGCAGTTAAAATCATCCTGGAGGGCTCTGCACTGCTGCACAGCTGGGAGCATGAGGTGCATTGTGACCAGCATCAGGTCCAGGAGCCCATTTCCATGCCCTTGCAATTGCAATCTGTAGCTGAAACAGAATTTTCCCCTCTGCAGACTCCTCTGGGATGAGCCCAACCCCATTTCTGAGGGGCTGAGCACAGCCTGGCAGCCCTGGCTTTGCTGGCCCAGGCAGGGGAAGCAGTGACTGTTCCAGCACTGCCAGCCTGACTGAGTGCTCCTTCTCTCTCCCTGGTCTCTTGAGCTGGCAAGCCCTCCAGCTCTCCTGCTTTAGGATTGTGCAAAAAATCCCTTTTTCTTTCAGGATTTCAGTCTGTGTTTTGGGTTGTTGAGGGAGATCCTCAGCATATCTTTCATGTGTTCCTCAGTACCTTGTGCTAACCAAACAGCCCCCACTGCTGGCTTTCTCCTCTCCTCATTCCATTTACCTTCCCAACCCTGCAGCAGCTTTCATCTTCTAAGCACTCACAAAATATATTCCAGCAACCCTTCCTGTGCTGTGCCTGCTGCTGCCCTGCTACACCTCAATGAGAGATGATTGACAATTTTATCAAAGAGCTGAGTTAGAGTCAACCACATCTAAAAGAGAGAAGTAAATGGCAATTAGAAACACAGTTCTGGATATAGGGAATTTTAGAGCTTTAGGATAATTAAAGAAATTTAACTTTTATTTGTTCACCGCTCTACATCCCTAAGGATCATTTGTTTCAGTTCAAGCCCCATAAAGATGCTTTAGAAAACTGTAAATATTTTTTTTTCCTTTTACAATGAGGAATGTTATTATTCTGGGCAGCAAACACCCAGCCCTGTGACAGAAAGAACCCCTTCCCTGGCTGCTGCTTCAAAGCACATTCCCATTCAGACCACTGAACCAGTCTGGTTTCTCATGGAAAACTGGAACAGCTTTGCTTCCACTCCTGCTTGAAATGCAGACATAAATCTGTGCAAGAAGTAAAGGCAGAACAACAGCCCTGGTTTGGGAGGATTGATTCATGCTGTGCCTTACCTTCCAGTCTCTATCCCCAGTGCTGTGATATTCAAGCTTGTATTTTACTGTGCACTCCTGGAAGGTCTGGGCATGGGGAGGAGGCTTCCACTCCACATCCAGGGAGCCCAGGAGCCCGGGGTCAGTGATCCGCAGGTCTTGGGGGGGAGCAACTGCAAATTAAATAAAAAGTTTAAAAAATTAAACTGCAGTTAAAAACAAAGCAGAGGGTGAAACAGAGAGACAAAGTTGAGAGAACAAACCCAAAGCAGCCATGAAAGAGTCAGTGTGATACTTTGCTATGGACTGTTGAAATGCAGCTGCTGGATGTGGAGGGAAGGGCTGCAGCCCTGGCTGTTCAACAAACACACACGAGCTCTGCCCTGCCCACCACAAACCAGTTTTTGCTGGGGCTCAGAGAAAACACTCAAGGATCATTGAAAAGGCACACAGAAGGCCACTTTTCCACACCCTTTTTCAAGATGTTTTAGGCAAAACTGCTGTCCTGGGATGACCTTTCATGTGCTGTATTTGCTTACCTGCAACCCCTGGTATTTACCAACCTTCAGGACACTTATCTCTGCAAACATTGTGTTCAGCACATCCACCCACACAGGATGGCAGATCAAAGTGTGCTGTCAGGGGGATTTATATTCCTTTGCCTTCATAGACACAAATCACCCATATTGCTTTACCTATTCCTTTCAAGTATATTAAAGATTATTGGGGAAAAAAAACAGGGAAAAAAGGTAAAAAGCAGAGAATTAGAATAATTCTTATTTTGAACATCTATCAGCTATACAAAAATGTGCCTTCACAGCTGATCTGGCTTTTATAAAGGTATTTCAAGGTGCTGGTATGTGTCAATAAATAAGGAAGTGAGGATGAATTCCATCCTAAGATGTGTCCTAAAGGTCCAGCTCTATATGGAGTTGCCTTTAACATGACAAAAACTGTTTGGCTGCTCAGTTTTATTAGCTGAAACAAAGCCATTTTTTGTCAACATCAAAGGTAATTTGTCTCCACTATCTAGAGGTGAGATTATCCATTTGGTTTCTACATACTCATTGCATGATACTTTATTTCACAGGAATTTGGAGCCCATGTCCTGGCAGAGCCAGTCCAGAATTACCACCATTCTCCCTTTGAGTCTGGCCTCCAGATCACTTCTCTAACACCTTTTTCATATCTTCATCAGGATTTGCACCATTTTTTTTTCTTTTATTCTTTTAATAAATCCATTGTGAAAGCAGACCATAAGGATATTTTTCAGTGGAAGATGGTGACATAAATCCAGCTTTAATGTGTTCCCTGGAAAGTTTGCAGGGTATATTGCTGGAGGATTTGTTTCTTCTACAGAAATTTTCCCAAATAAAACACACTCCAGGCAGCAGTTTGATAATCCCTGTTCCCAGAATGTGAAGCTCCATGGAGATTTGTTATTACATTAGATGGTGAAGTAGGAGATGCATTTAGGATGATACTGGACCAAGGGCTTGGGAGGCTCCTCCTGAGTGTATAAATGCTGAACCTCACAAGGAAAAAAACAAAGAAGCAAAAAGCTGCTAGCCTTTGTCATGACAAGCTGTCAAGACAGGATTAGATTGGTCAGAACTGGAATTTTTGTCTGGGTAGGAGAATGCTCTGAAATTTATTTATATCTTGAGCAAAACATAAGTATTTTTTCAAAACAATTGTAATTGTAAACAGCAATTCTTGCAAAAAAAAATTGACTGGATTTCAGAGGGAACAGAAAAGCTTCTCTTTGGGATGGTGCTTGCATTCTGGGATTTTATTGTTTTTAAATGTCAGCACTGCCTCCTGCAGTTTCTCATTTTCACAATAACACATTACCAGTCTCACTCACATCCCCATCACTCACACAGAGCATAGGGCTGGAAATGCTCTATTTCACCACACAGTCTTGAAGGAGAGCTGCTCCTGGATGTTTCTTGGAGAAAACCAAACTAAGAGCTTCTGCCCCTGAGCATGTTTGTGCTGCTGAGTCAGGCAATGCTGAGCTGGCCCCAGGACAGCCACAGCCCTCACTGCCACCAGCAGCCCTGCTCTGGTGACTGCTGGAACCCAGGGCACAGGGAATGCTCCTCTGCCTGTCCTGAGCTGTCCTGACCCCAGGAGAACACTGCTTTTAACCCTCACACATGGAGAAAGCTGCCAAGGCTTTGGGATGAACTGGAATCTAGGAGAGTGTGAAATAGATAGTGGTGTAGTTTATCACAGGGTGAAAAACTTTGCATTATGGGGTTTTAGTATGGAGGTAGATGGGAGACAAGATGGAGGATTTTGGGCATTGTCTGATCTCCTTCTTGCTCTTCATCTGCTCCATTTTCGGCAGTGTTGGTGGCACAGGGGGATTGGTTAGAAAGAGCCCCAATGCAGATGTGTGAACAGACAAATAATTATTGGTAGAAAAGTAGAAATAAAATACATTCCAAGAGTTAATTGGACTAAATAGTTTTAAAAGACCTTGAACCTGTGTGTCTTGGGACTTTTTTGGTGCCTTTCTCTTTGTGTGCTGTCTGGAATGGCATGCAGAACTGTTGACAAGAGAGAAAATAAACAACAACCTGAAGACTGAAAAAACCAAAAGTCCCATTTGTTTGTCAATCCTGGCACAGAACTTTTTAGGGGTCTCCCCCTCAGGGGATCCTAGAGGGGGTTTCAGAGGTGACAAAGGCCTGCCTGTCCCCAGCTGTCCTCACCACCCCTGTCCACCCCATGCCCTCTGAGATGCAGGTGGAATTTACAATTTCCCACCTATTTTGCCAGTGGAAAAGCAGCAGCCTGCCAGGGGTCCCCAAATGTCCTCCCTCTATGTCTGCCCTTCCCTGTGCTGCTCAGAGAGGTGGAGGTGACACTCATGTTTTCTGGAGCCCATGTCAAAGGCAGCAGGCTTTGCTCAGAGTGGCACCAGGGGGGTTCTCCTAGACAGGTAAAAGAACTATAAAAGAAAAGCCTCATCAAATCAGGATTGATAGCTGGGCTGTCATTTCTTCCAAGTGCAGCTAGTACTTTGCAACTTCCTGTGTGAAAACAATCCTGGTATGAATAGTTTAACATAACAACCTATTCTTGGGTGAAAAATAAGTCCATCTGCATAAACATTAGCTCTGTTCCATGAGAACCCACAAAAGAAAAATGTAAACACCTGAACCTTAGCATGTGCACACAAATCACCTTCTGACCAATAAATGGAGTAGTAAGAAAAGTACCAGCCAATGGATGTTGCACATAAAGTCTGTAAAAACTGTGTAAAATAAGTTATGTGAATAAAGATTTGGCTTTTCCCACATGAAGAAAATGGAGCCTTGCCTGATTTATTCCAGCAGGGGTTGTGGCAGCTTTCTGTGTGTGCTGGTGGCAGGACAGGACAGCAGCCTCTCAGCTCTGCACCATGCACTGCTGCCATCAGGGAGGGCCAGACCTGCTCAGCATCTCTCTGGGTGCAGATGCCAGATGCCAAAAGAGCCAGCAGGGGCAGTGCAGCAAAGAAAGGGTGCTTGAAGTGCCATGGCCACGAATGGCAGCTTGCAGAGCAGTGTTCTCTTTGAGGCATTACTGTCCAAGTACAAATAAACCTTGTGCTTCTTACACCCAGCACAGTCTGTCTGTCTGGGAGCATGCTGAGGAGCATTTATAGCAGTGTTTATATTTGATAACTTTCTATCAAACACCAAAGGCAGTCTCTTCTCCTTTCAAATCCACTCAGAAAAATAGCCACTAAACACACATCATATTTACACCATGGATTACATGTTTATGAACCAGCACTCACACAGCAATGCACACACAGAGAAGAGCAGCTCTGGCTGAAGGACAAAGCCCCAAAGGACCCAATGAACCCAAGCAGAGACACAAGAGCCTGCTGGCCTTTACCTGTGCTGGGTGAGGAGGAGGAGGAGGCCAGCAGCCAGCCCCACAGCAGAGACACGGCGAGCAGGGGCAGCCTCCAGGGAGCCATCAGCGCTCAGGGTCCCAGGCTGGGCACAGGAGCAGTCCTGAAAGGCTCTCAGGGTCTGTGGAGACACAGCAGAGGTCAAAGGCTTCAGCATTGCCCTGTATTCCCTCTGCAGGGCTGACAAGAAGAGTGGCTTTACTTGTTTACCAAGGCTGATTAATTATTTCCCAGAGGAATTCTCTTTGCAACTTTTGGTGATGGCCAAACGTGGCTTCATTTGAAATAGTTTCTGGCCAGCTAAGCATACTCTGCAGAAGTCTGTCAGTACTTCAATCACCAGCCCTCTGTCTCATGCCTTCTGTGGAAAGTGATTCAGCTCCCTGCCTCGGGAAGTGCCTTGGACCAGTGATACTCTCATTTAACAAAAATGAAAATAGAATGCCTGAGCCTTGCCTTATCTAGACACACGTTATGCAATCATCCCCACCTTTGCCTTTGCTGTTTCAGGACCTGGTAGGAATGGTAGGAATGCTTGGGAGAATTCTTCTTAGTTGTCATGGCAATATTTGAAGGGGACAAATTTCTATTCTTGTGCAAGTCTGCTGGAGGGAAGATGGGGACTGAGAGGGAAAGGAGCAGAGTTTCCTGGGAGGGGGCTATTCTTTCCTTCAGATTTCATGCTAAAGGTGGGTAGAAATTACTGCCTACAGACACCCAGCTCAGCATGCTTCCCTGTGCCAGAAAGCACATGGGTTCTGACAGGGTTTTAGTTTTTCTCATATAGATACAGGTGTAGGTATTGATTAGATAGAGATGGAGGATGAGAGAAAGATATAGATTAGATGTAGATACAGATCTAGGTATATAAATAGGTTTAGATATAGAATCAATCTTCCTGGAACCTTGATGCCACTGCTTGAGCTCCACTTAAGTAAGAACTTGGCAGCCTCAGTGTGAGCATGCAACTCATCACAGAGATGTATTGAGAAAACAAACTCACTTTATATTGCCCACACAAGCCTGGCTTAAGCAGGTGAAATCCCAGGTCAGGCTCTGGCACAGCTGCTTCCTCCTCAGCAGCCACAGCTACCATGCAGCAATGGGAAACTTGGGCTCTGCTGAACAACAGAACTTCAGGTCAGAGGGGTCTTTAGAAATCTGAGCACTGGAGCCAACACAAAGCCCCCATCATTGGGAGAAGTGGCTCAGGAGAGCCAGAGGAGGAGATAGGTTGTGCTGGCCAGGGTATCTGTACGTGTTTAAAATTAACCAGAAATTCGAGCTGGCAAAACACAGCAGCACCTAAAAATACACAACAATTTTAACAGCAAATGTTCAATTTAAATTAATAGCAAATCCCCCCACTCCATCACATAATTGTAACTATTATATCACATAAATCCATCACATAAATATAGTTATTACATAACTATTATTATTACAGCAATAGCAGTAATTTTTCTGTTTCACTGTGAAGCGACAATGTGTAGGCAGAAGAAATCAGAGGAATTACTTCTTTAACCTATGAAATACAGGATAACCAGTGTCAGTACAAACCTGTAGGCAGTGGGTCTGTGTTTCAGAGAGGGCTGGGGCTGCAGTGGCAAAGGAGAGCAGCCCTGCAGAGCTGGGAGAGGCAGCAGCAGCAGCATCCAAGGACGGTGTGTGCATGCTAGCACAGAAAGCTTCTCTTCATTTCCAGTATTTGAATATATTCATATGATTTCAGAAGGCAAATAAAAATAAACAAATGCTTTCAGAGGGAAGTTTAATATCATCAGAGTGCTCTTACCTTGACCTCTAATTGCATGGGAACCCATCTATCTCTGGAGTGTGGGGCTCCTCAGCAGCTTCATGGCTCAAAGCTTTGCATTTCACAGAAGTTCTGTGGTTTTTAAAGACTCCTCTCTGAGCTCCCCAGGGATCAGATGTTGCATTGCAGTGTGATGGCTTTGGCCACACGGTCAGAGGCTTTACTAAGCATCAGAGGGAGCATTGCTGGCTTTTATGAGGTGCTGGTGCTAATTGTTGTTCTTATGTGCTCAAGTGGGTCAAAGGTATGTTTGAAACATTGAAGTGATCACGAAGATGAAAACCAAATGTCAGGATCAGTGCAGGCAGTCTGCTGGACCGGTGACACGCAGCTGTCCCCAGCAGGTGGCAGCCACAGCCCCTGGCTCTCTGCATTGCCCTGACCCCTGTGGCTCCACCCGGGGTCCCCAGGACCACCCCAGTGTGACCCTCCACAGAGCATTCCCATCATCTCCCCGCCTCTGGAGCCAAGCCAGCCTCTCCTGGCTCCTGGGGCTCTGCAGGGAGTACAGTGGATGATCCCCTCCTGGCCCCTCTGCTGTGGCCAGCATTCAGCCCTGACTTTGTCCAGCCTTGCCCGTCTCCATTCCCTGCATCCCTCCCTGCCCCGGCTGCAGAGCCCTGCAGGGAGCAGGCGCTGCCACCACGCCTGGCTTGGCCAGGTGAGACATCCATTGCCAAACACACCTGGCTGGAAAAGCATCTGATGGTTCTGCTGATCTGCCAAGGAGCATCCAAGGTCATGGCAAGTCATGCATGAGTCCTCCTGCGAGCTGCAGGAGTGTGAGTGCAGTGAGTGCCCTCCAGGAGGGACAATGGGGATGTTTTGGGAACAGCAGAACTCTGCTCTGCGTGCCCTGACAAGCACGGGCTGTGGCTCGGGCTGACTCTTCCCATGCACAAATTTAGGCATATTGGGAAAGAGTTCAGGCATACAAAGAGCATGAGAAATGGCATCAGGAGCTGAAGGAATGCTTCTTGTAAGGAGGAAAAGTGTCCTCCAAGCACCTGTGCAGGACTTAGGGTATTGCTGTTTGATGAGAGGCTGAATGGATGTGTTGTCACTTCCCAGCTGCTGTCACTGGTAATGTTTTGGAGCACCAGGGGCAGGATCAGGCTCCTTTCCAGTTGCCAGGTGTCCTCTCCATTTCTCTGTGTGCATAGACATGCAGAAATGTGTAGTGTCAACACAGTCACCTTGAGAGCCCTGCGAATTCTGGGGGTAAGAGGATTATGGGTGAGTTGTCCCTTCAGTGAAATTGCACACTGCTGGATTTTCCTTCTTACTTCCTGCAAAGGATGGGTAAAAACGTCCCTTACTGCTGGTAAACGTATGGCCCTGCTTTCAGAGTTATGCAAGATTAGAATTTTGCATTCATGTATTCCTGTTGTGTAAGCTATTTAAAAAGAAAAGGTCACAGTGGACACATTGTTTGAAACAAATAAGAAACATTTGCCAGTAGAGTGAATGCCAGTTCCCAAATGCTAGAACTGGGTCAATTTCTGAGAAAATTGGGTTGGAAAAAAAGCATCGTTGGGATTTGCAACAATAGAGCTCCACCACCCATCCAGCAGCACTGGAACACCTGGGAAGGAGCAGAGGGTGCAGGTCTGTGCTGAGCAGAGCCTGCTGGGCCAGCTGCTCTGGCCACATCCTGCCCAAAACAGCCCCCTGGGTGAGCTGCAGGTGCTTTTCCCTCCCTCTCCCTGTGCCATTCTCCTTTCCTTTCCTCTCCCTGTGCCATTCTCCTTTCCCTCCCTCTCCCTGTGCCATTCTCCTTTCCCTTCCTCTCCCTGTGCCACTGCTCTGTCCCTGCTCCCCCTGCTCTGTCCCTGCCCTGGCAGGGCTGGTGCAGCCAGGCTGTTCCTGCAGGGGCTCAGCTGAGGCTCATGGAGAGGATCCATGGCCATTCCTGCAGAGCTGGGGAGGCTCTGCCGTGGCTGGGAGAGCCATCAGTGGGCACAGCTCTGCTCAGCCCCTGGCTGGCTCCAGCCCCACTGACTGAGGCTGTGAGCAGTGTCCCAGCACTGAGGGACAGGCAGGGACAATCCCTGCCCGGGCTGGACCAGAGCCTCAGGGCCCTGAGATCAGGGCAGGGACAGGCAGAGGATTTGAGTCTTATTAACTGTTGTGTAAAAGGGATAAAGCTACAAAAAAAAAAAGAAAATTAAAAAAATCCATCATAAGGTGATGACAAGATCATGGAAAAAGACGTAAATGAAACCAGAGCAGCTCTGGCTCACCAGCAAGCCCTGCCAAAGCTCTGTGCAATGAGCTGAGCCTGAGGCATCACTGCTGGCTGGGCTCAGCCCTCCCTGTGTCCCCTGTGCCACCTTTCCAGGGAGGCTCCTGGTGTCACCAGCAAAGCCCCAGGGGCTGAGTCCCCTTTGCTTGTCTGCCTCCCCAGCTGCAAGGGTGTGGAAGTTGACTCGTTTGTTTGCTCACAAATGAGAGTTTTTGGGATTTGTCAGTGGGGTGACTGACTCCTGGAGTCACTGTGAGCTCAGGAACACCTCAGCTTCCTCCTCTCCCCCAGCCTGGCCAGCTCCCAGAGCCCCACAGCTGCTCTCTGGGGGCAAGAGTAATAAAAACACTAAAGCTGAGGGAATGAAGGCTTGTAAAGATGCCACCAGGCTGAAAAAGAGATTTCAAAGAGCCAAGAATGCTCTGAGCTGGGTTCTTGGACTATGACAGATATGCAGCTGCATGAAGAAATTAAAAAGCCCTTCTGTAAAAATCTGCTTCTGTTTGAGGAAATAAAGGAACAGCAGCATCATTGCTGAAATACTTCACTGCAAATGGCAAAGCAGTTGGCAGAGGCCATTAATAGAGCTAAATATAAAAAATGGGCCAAATCCTTTTTGGTTGAAATTTATTTGATATATTCGTCCCATTTGTGCTAAATTGGTTCTGTCAAGCAATCCATTGTAAACTTAGGTTAAAATATTGGGATGCCATAGCTCAAAATAAAACCTTTCAACTTTGCAACTTCCATGTTTAGAAGCAGCTTCCTAATCACCAAAATAAAAAGCAGAAAGGCTCCAGCTATGAACAGACCATTTGGTATAAAAGAGCATGTTTCATTTGATCCAGAAGGATAGTTTTGAAATTGCCAGGGGCATGGAAAATGGATGATTTATAAAAGCCTCATCACTGCCTCATGTTTCAGGGAAATCAGTCTCTTTTGCAGAACTTGCATTAAACAAGCTCCTTCCAAGGTGCCAGGATGAAAGTAATTCCAAGCAGACCTGTGGCCTCCAGCACAGGGTTATGGAC